ATATATATATAAGCAAATACCGTAAAATGAAATCAATAAGGCATGAAATTATAAAAAGAAAAGTGGCATTTGCTGAAAAAAATGGAGAAATTAAAAGTAAAATGAACGTTTGATTGAAATTTAAGAGCAAAGTTGCGAACTAAAAAACAACTTGGCGCAAGACAGATCAGTAAGAAATTGAAGATCGTTAGCTAAATTATGGAACGAGGCAACGCTGTTGGTTACTAGTAGGGAGCCCTATGAAAATCATAAGAGATCTCCTATATTACAAACTAGTGTGATGAGAAGTAAGTAATCTTTAGAATAACTTCCGGGTGTCAAAAAACTGACCTGCCTTTTAGGACTAAGAGAGATGGAAAAGTACAGATGGCTGCGTTCTGCTTAGAAAAGCGTCGTCAAACCATCGAAAAATTTTGGTCACGGCGAGATAAATTTATTACGCGTGATGTTTCACTCTTAATAGTTGCGGAAAAAGGCGTGTGTTCACGAAAGACTTGGAGCAATTTAGTGATAAACCACATTTCCAAATTGTTTAGAAGAATATTTTTGTGTTCGTTTTTGGTGTAAACCACAGCAATTTTGACGTGCACCAAAAGAATTCTCTCCTTCTTTACATTTTTATCTAGAGAAAATGTTAGGAAGTTTTTAAATACTCATCTAAAAACAATACTAAACAACAGTTTAATGTAGAAGTGTCCTCTTTGAAAAAAGTATGTCTTTTTACTATATTTTATTAAATTATGAAGTAAATACAGTTGAGTTTCATTTTCACACATAGTTGAACACATATTTGAATGTATATTTATACACATAGTTGAATTTTACTTTTTATAAATGTTACCTACTTGATCATATCTTTTAATTCCTGTTTGTTCCTTATTTAAAACTGGATCACAGTGATAATAAACAGAATATAATATGAGCCCAAGAGTATGACATGAAAGTAATGACAATGATGCAGGAATAATACTCATTTGAAATGTCCTGAAAAAAGTTTTCTGCTTTTTACTCCTTTCAAAATATAAGTAATTGCTAATACTTATATTTTTGAGAAATTTAAGCACTTATTATATGACAAATGTTGAATAGTGAAAATTAAAGCCGTCCAAAATTAAATTTTTGCAGATTAATTACTACAACTGGAATTTACTTCAAAGTATATCTTCAATTCCCTGGTAAAAAAAGAATAGATTTTTAACTTATTATTTTAAGAATTGGTATTTGTTATCAGGAACGAATTATTTTGTTCAGCTCAATTAAGCTGTCACAAAAATATGTCTATAGTTGTCACAAATTAAAGGCACTAATGATGCGGTAGAAGACGGTTGAAGAGACATTGAACTTTTAGAAAAGTTTTAGTAAAATCTGATCTAAGATAAGAATAATAAATTTCCATTAAACTAAGGACAAAAACATAATTACTTAAATAACTCAATAGACATGAAATAGTAAGATACGGAATGTAATAATATATGTTTAATGAATCATAAACTTACCGAACAAAAAATTAGTCACCCTAGTGCGCAAGCACAGATGAATCGGTAGGATTCGTTTGATGACACAGTGGTCGAGTGACGTGCACACTGTTTCAACGTGATCAGAGGCAAGTAGCTATCAGTAAGATATTTTTGTTTGAAGCGGAAATTGTGTGTAAATATGGGGAAGTGAAAGGATGTGGTAGAATGGCAAAAAGGGGCAATTGTGCTTGGCCGTGCCCATGGTCATTCGGTGAATGAAGTTGCTGGATTTGTTAGCTTTTCGATGCGGACTGTTCAACGTGTCTACAAACATTGGTGTAATACACGTGATCACCAAAGACGACGTCAGAATTGTAGTCGGAAAAAGCTCCAGCATGAAAAGGGCCGAAGACTTGTCAATCAAAAATGCTTCCAAACCCGTCAGAAATTGCTTCAGTTAGTAAATTAAGGTTCATCCCAACCTGTTAGTGAGAGAACATTGCGACGAAAGCAGCATGCAATGAACATATGGAGTCGAACATGTCGTAAGAGGCCATTACTCACCAAGGCACATAAAGCTGCGCGACTTCAGTGGGCTAGAAGTCACCAAACGTGGACAGTTGCTGACTGGAGGAATGTAATATGGTCTGACGAATCCCGTTTTTGCCCTTATTCAAAAGACGCACATCATCGAGAGCTATGGAGAGCAGATAAAGCATTTCATCACGACTGTGTGCAAAGTCAGGTTCAAGCTGAAGCTGAGTCTGTCATGCTTTGGGGGCATTTTTCTTATTATGAATTTAGTCATCTCACTGAGGTGGCCACTAACATGAACCAACATGTTTATTTGAACATTCTGGATGATTAGATGTTGCCTTTCAGTCAACATCCTAATGAAGAGTGTGTTGTCCATACCCCTATTTTTCAAAATGACAACAGAAAAGTTCACCAGGCTGGAAGAATATATGACTGTTTTTATGAACACTCAGACGCTCAATCACATCTCGACTGGCCGGTGAAATCACCTGACTTTAATCTCATTAAAACTTTGTGGAACATGTTAGAACAACGGGTAAAACACCGAAATCAGCAACCTCACAATTTTGTAGATTTGCACTATCAAATCCTCAGAGAGTGGCTGATACTGGATTCGACGTACCTGCAAAATCCAAGGGCTCAATTCCCAACTGAATCCAGGCAGTTTATCGAATCCAGAGGTGGTGCTACACGCTATTAAATGATGTTTTTCATTATTTCTCTAAGGGTACAAATTTTTTGTCCGATTTGCTTATTACTTTCATTCTCTGAGAAATTTGGTCCATTATTTTCATTTGAAGCAAAGTTTCCTTTTAATTAAATAAGATATACAATATTATAAGTAGGTGTATTAAAATCTGAAACTACTTGAAATTTGACCAGAATTGTGTCGTTTGAAATGAAGGAAGTTCCTTCGCGAAAATAAGTCTATTTATTAATGAAAAGTATGTAGAAAAATGTTTTTAGTGTAATAACTAAAAGGTTTTAGCATTTAGTTATATGCTTGGTGTTCTGTAAAGACGGCAATTAATAATTAGTTATAAAATCTTTATCAAAAATGATTCAAAATAAGTTGAAGTTTCTCAAAGGTGTTTCTTTTTTTCGCTTCCTTATAAAATATTTTAATGGTTGTCTAAACAACATTTAATACGAATCAAAGCTTACAGATAAACGAATGACTTATCTCTATTTTCATTAATTACGCTTCTAAAAATTAGTATATACTTATTGTTATCTGCAATTTTGAGAAAAAAAAACGCTAACATTTGGTGATTAGTTTAAATTATTTGCCATTTAATCACAAATTAGGCATTAAAAAGTTTGACCTCTTTATAATAACACATTGAAAATCGAAATAATTTCAGAAATTTCTTTGGGCATAAACCTACAATATGAAATCAAGACATTTCATATCCTTTTTTGAAACAAGAATTTTCAAAATCCTATGATGAAACAAAATTACATTCAAATTGTAGAAGAAAATATACAATTGTAGTCTGATTTAAATCATCTGAAGACTTTCATGATATAAATCACTTAGTTATATCGAAAAGGGAATTATACAACTTTAAGATGTTCTCAAAAACAAGTAGAAAACGAGAAAAACCAACCAACTGAAAAAATTATGATTTGATTAGGAGAAGAAAAGTAAAGCATCAGAGTTAAATAATTTTATACTTATTGAAGGAGGGATTATAGTTAAGACCATTCAATTGAAAATTAATGTCACATGGTTTGAAACTTTGATCCTTTTTAAGATATTTTGAAATCCTCGAAAATTTTCCTTAAATTTTGGGAATTTCATGAAAAAACAAACGATGCGAAAATAATTAAATTATAAAAGTGATATTGTTAGAACAAATTATGACAAAAGTGTCTGAGTTGTCAACGTTGTTTAGTGATATGATTTAAAAATCTCATTAGAAAAGCCATCTTTGCTTCATTTGCTAATTGAATTATGAACAAATATAACGTAAGAAGTTTTATTTTTGGAATAAATTTATGTAAGAAAGTTAGAAGGGAATATAAGTTGTTTCGAACACATCGAAATTCTTGTCAGTATATATGTTTTTTAATTTATCACTTGCCAAGACAAGATCCGAGAAAGCGCAATCTATCCAAGCACTTAACCTTTAAGAAAAACTGAATCCTGGCTCAAGACACAGAAAATGAAAAATATATTCAGTATTTTACAGCTAGATAGAGATTAGAGCACACGGAAAAAACCGGTTTTCTTAATTATTTTAAATATACGACGCACGGATAAATTTTCATTATTTAAAAAAAAAATTTTTAATTTAGTTCATTTTTATAGATTTGTTACGAGTTTAGTTTTTACCTTTTATAAAACACTATTTTTTATTATAAAAATTTTTTTTTATAAAAAAGTCGAATTTAAAAAATTTTTTTCTTGACTATTCACTAAATGTAATATTAAAATTAAGTACAATTTAATTAAATGTTATTTTTTTTATTTCATCGACATATATTTTGTTTCCCATAATGGAATTTAGATAAAATTTAAAGCAAATACTTTTATATTTCTACCATTTTAATTTTATCTACAATTTCGTCATTTCAAATCATAACTCAATTTTGGCTCAAATTCTGATTTGTCAACGAGATTATTTAGTAGTAGTATAGAAACGCTGCAGCTTAATATTACTTTATAGTTCAATTCATTATTTCAATTGCGTATGTTGGCAAGACACAATTATATACAAAACTTGTCAGAAAATTAAACATAACATGAAACACTGTTAAGATTTTCATTCTGAAATTACGAAACCGGCAGTAGTTTGTCCATGTAATTAACAATAAAGTTTATGATTAGAAACATTTCTTTATCTTAAAAGTTTTGAAAATGGTACGGTAAAGCAACCGTTAATATAAAACTATACGGTTTTGTAACCATTTAAAACTAACATAGTTCCTAAACCATAAAAATGAAATTTAAATGGACATGGGAGCTCTTTGGAAGCTGTGCCATTTTTGCGTGAGTGATAGTTTCGTATTTTAATAGTCACAGACTGAAGAGTGCAGGATTCTTAAGGTGTTGAAAGAATGTGAGGAATATTGTGGTATCAACGCTGGGATTCGATAAAATGCCTTCATTTGGTGAGCCTAGTTGGCGCATATAGAATTCTGGTTATTAAACCGTGTTAGGTAAAAACAATCAATAAACGTTTTTTTCTCACACGTAACAGACATCTTTTTTATGGTTATTTGACTATTTTGGTTGAATATATGGTAAAATGACAATGAAATAAATTGTTATTTAGCCATTTTTACCGAGAAATTTCTAACAGTGCAGAGTAAGAAGTAAATATAATCTTTTACCCTTAAATCATTATGAAACTGTTACTTAATCTATATCCTTCCATGACATATTTTGTTTTTAATTCTTGATCTGGTTTTCACTGATCTGCCCCACTCATGCTTACGTGATTGTTACTTATACCTAGACCAAACGTGTTTTCACGATTATTACATTTTAATAAAAGAATAAAAAATATCTAAACTAACAAAATAAGCTTAAATATAAGCAACCGAATAGCTTTAAAAAGTTTAACATCACCAAATGAAGATTAAATATCTCTATAATCAAAATCAAACTGATGTCTCTTATTTAATTGAATTTAATTAAGTACCATTAAATCAGGGTTAAATAAATAATTTACAGGCAAATACTATTATAAGTTTTAGTAATTTTAAACTGATGACAGACAAAGATTTTTGGATATTTTTTGTTTAAATAAGAAAATTATACCACCCGTTATCTGGCGTTAAGTTGCGATATCTTTTTATATTCTATTGAGAAATATTTGCTTCAATGTTTTTTAAATATCAAGAATATTTCATTTGCAAATTCAAGAATTATTTTAAGGATTAAAATTTAGGAAATATTTCATGCATAAATTTGTCTTTTTTTCTGCTTCTGCAATGAAGTTTTAAGCGTAATCGCAAGATTCCAAAAGTTAATATATTTTTAATTGCTTCAATAATATTTTATTTTAAAAATGTTTTATAAAGATAATATTTGAAATTATATTGTATAGTATCGTATAATTATAAATCATTCTAACTAAATTACGATATTTAAACTATTCTAGTAAATGAGACTTAAAATTCACCAAAATAAATTTACCATTTTGAAGAAAAAGAATTTTTAATTATCCTGGATAATAAAATTGAATAAAATATTTGGATAGATCTGAATTTGTTGCCTTCTGTTATTAACTAGTAAGTTCACTTGTCGCCGTTGCCCAATTTTCGTTCTAGAAAGTTTATAGAAACATGCAAGTACGAAAATTAATTTATTGCTTAAGGCATTATTGAACATAAAAAAAAATTTGTTAATAGGTCCCATTCTAAAGTAGATTTTCACAGAATCACTAACCTGTCACTCGAAATTAATCTTTCTCGAAATTCTTAAATTACTCATACTTTTATATATTCTGACGTTGCTAAATAATGATCCAATTTGCAAATCCTTATAGTCACCATTTAGGCACCTATAAAAAGATACCAAAAAATAAAATAAAATTCATGTTTTCATCTTAATAAATCGAATTTTACCTTACCTGACAAGAGATTTTATTTCTTTTCTGGTTCAGCAAATTTCGATAGAGAATTTCAGACAGGGAGTATATTAGTAACCGCGACTGTTGATTGCGAATTCAAAGTAAGGAGATATACTTAAACTGGATAATGTTTAATGAAAAGTGGTTGCTGAAAATGGTTCATTATTAAAAGAAAATAGTTTTAAATGTTTCGTGTTTTGAAATACACTGAAGGAAAAAATCCCAACCCCAAGAGGGAGTTGTGCCAGATAAACTAAATTTGGTAGGCTTGTTTATACAACTAAAAGATGGTTTATACAACCAAACCTTTCGCTCTTGGCGAAAGGTTTGGTACGTTCGTATTCGTATTCTACAGATTGTAAGCATTATTTTTCGTTAAATTTTGGCATGGTAAGTTGCTGTTAGTCAAGAATGCCTTTAATAAGACGAGGAAGCCATTATTAACAGCTCACTGACTTTGAACGTGGTTGTATAATAGGGCTACAAGAAGGTGGATTTTCATTACACGATATTGCAGAAAGACAGGGGAGAAATGTATCCACTGTGCATGGTTGTTGGTAGCAGTGGTCAAGCGAAAGTAGTGCTTCAAAAGGTCTGGGTCCTGGGTGACCACATGGCACTACTCAGAGGGAAGACCACCGTGCACGGCATATGGCTGTGGCTCACCATATTGTGTCTGCGTCAGAAATTCAAGCTGCAGCTGACCCTGCAGTGATACAAAGAACTATTACAAATCAGCTATTTCAAGTACAGATCCAAACAAAATGCCCTGTAAATTGCATTCCCCGCACTCCAAACCATTGCCGTTTACGACGTGAGTGGTGTGGTGTTAGAGCTCACTGGAGAACAGAGTGGAGATCTATTGTGCTTTCAGGTGAAAGTCGTTCCGCCTTGGTGCCAGTGATAGCTGTATATTGGTTAGAATTAGGCCAGGTGAACGCCTGCTGCCGACAGTGTAGGTCTCCGGTGTATACACACTGGACCTATACCTGAAGTTATGGTCTGAGGAGCAATTTCCTATGACAGCAGGAGCACTCTAGTGGATATTCCACTGTATCTTGGATACAAATTTGTACGCCAATCTGGTGATTCAACCTGATTTGTTGCCATCCACGAGCAACATTCATGGGGGTATTTTCCAAAAGGATAACGCTCGTCTTAATACTGCTGTTGAAACCCAACATGCTCTACAGAATGTCAACATGTTGCCTTGGCTTACTAGATCACCAGATCTTTCCTAGAAAGAGAACGTATGGGACGACAACTTCAGCGTCATCCATGACCAGAATTAACTATCCCCGTTTTGACTGACCAAATGCAAAAGACATGGAACTCCATAACGCAAAATGACACACGGCATCTGTATGACCCAATGCATGCCTGTTTACATGCTTGCATTAAAAATTCTGGTGGTTACAACGTTAACAATTCACCTGTAGTTCATATTCGCAATGTTTTTTCTCTTAATTGCGTTAACCTGTGATCTTAAAACTTTAATCAATTAAGTATGTTATTCAGACAAACGCATTGTCGAAATTTCATTACTCTGCAATAATTTCTTCTTAGTGTTGGAATTTTTTCATCGGAATATTTACCAGACTGAAAGACTACAAATAATTTCTGATTGCAACATATTTCATTTCACAGAATATTATTTCTTACTTGCAACATGTAATTACTCATACTTTACCTTTCTCATATTAATCTCATTTTCACTGCCATTAATCAAATTGAACTTACTGTAATTGTATATTTGAATGCCCCATCTCTTATTACAAATAAAAACAAAAAGTAAATACCAAGAAATGTAAGCAACTTAAACCAATCAATTTACTAAAAATAATGTTTTAGAAAAACTTACGACTTAGCTCTTTTAAAGCTACTTAGGCTAAGCACCCTTTGAACTTCGACTTGATTCGTCCCATAAAATCCAAATCCGAACATTATTCCACGTGATAGACAGCCCCAAAAGCTATATCGTTTGGTGAAATCCAGGGTAAAGCTAAAATATATATATANTATATATATACACAAAAAATATATAAATATTCAATAGAATCAAAAAAAAATTTTGGAACAATTTTAAATTAATTACAAAATTATTTATTTAAAAGTTTTATAAAAATCGCAAAAATCTCAGTAAGATACTGTTGGGTACCAGGCCATGCTGGCATTTCAGGTAATGAAACAGCAGATTACGTAGCTAAGTAAGCTAACAATATAACAAGCAACCCACTTACTTATACAGATATCAAAAATGCGATTGATAATAAACAGTATTTACACTGGCAAAATGATTGGGAAAATGAAATAAATAATTAATTACACGACATTAAACCTTCTATAGAATCTTATAAAAGTCTTAACATAAGTCGAAAGTGGGAAGTAATATTAAATCACTTGCGCATTGGTCACTCTCGAATAACTCATAAACATCTTTTATTAAACGAACCTGCACCAGAATGTTTTCATTGTAGGAAACAGCTCACTATTAAACATATTTTAATCAAGTGTAACGAATTTAAAACACAGATACAACGCCATTTTGGTAGCTGTAATCCAATATTGACTTTTTTAATTGGGGATAGATTACACAATGACATTTTTAACTATCTAAGGGACATTGGATTTTACAAATCAATTTAGCTTTAACTTATAAAATGCTTCCTTGAAAACAAGTTGAAGGTGCGGTATGGCCAAAAGTGGCTCTTGCGCCAATAATTCTAAACAAACAAACAAACTCAGCAAGATATAAGTTTTTCTTCTATACTTATTTTTTATTAAGTGCATGTGCGGAAAAAAATTTTAAAAATTTTTCCTTAATTTTTAGAGAATCGTACTAGGCAACTAATGAAAAAAGTTTGTTCAAATATCTAAGAAATTTTAAAAGTGTTAAGCAATTTCCAAAGTTGTTTTTATACTTTACAAACGTTTTTCAATAGTGCCAAAATGCCTCTCACTACAAAATTCATTACAAGGAAAGAAATTTAAAAAATGTAAAAATGCTAAACTACTTTGGAGAAAATGTTAAAAAAATGTTGTCCAAAGTAGTCGTCAAAGTAGTACTTTTTTTAAAAAAAATTTAAATGATTCGGGGTTTTCCAGAAATTTTATATTGTATCATTAAACAGAAGTAATAACAAATTATTATACTTTACAATAATGGTCCAAAAACCAAAATGTTGTTGTATAGGGAGAGAAAACATTCTTTTATTGGAGATGGTCCCCCACAAAACCGGCCCAACTTTTAATAAATCTTGTTTAATAGTACAAAATAAAAGTTCAGGACAACCCCTTATCGTTTTTAGCTTTCTTTTAAAAAGTAGAAAACCTCCTTAAAAAATTGCTTGAATTTTTTTTAGCTTTTTAAGATATTTGAATCGAACTTTTTTCATTAGTTGCCAAATACCTCTCAGTACAAAATTCACCACAAGGACTAAAGTTTTAATTTTTTCGAGGCATGAGCAGCATAAAAAAATACTACTTTAAAATCTCATATCTTGAACTTTTTTTAACTATTATTTTTATAATTGTAAATAAATAATTTTGTAATTAGGTTTAAATACTTACTCTAGGCTTTTAAAATTTTACACGGTTATTAAAAATGACAACTAAAGTAATCAATACAAGATACAAGTTTATTGCTTGATTTTCTTACATAGCATTAAAAATACTTGTTTTCTTTCGCAATTTATTGCCGGTCTTCCAACCCTCTGAAAGCTTTCAATTTTATAACTATAAGTATAAAAAAAAATCGCATGAACTAAACATCTCTAAAGTTATAAAATCATCCTTTAGTATTTCTCTGAGAAATTTAGAAAAATGTCAAAAACTCAAAGTGTCTCTTTATTGCAGGGTGGTGCATTTAGATTAAAGGAACTAATTCATTATTATGGGGAGTATTATATGTATTAATGAAGTGTAGGAAGTAAAATATTGTAAAATCATCACTAACAAATGAAGTCTTAGCAATAAAGAAGGCTTAGCGAATGTTTTTAGCTTCCTACTATATTTAATAACTTTAAAATTATATCAACACTAAGATATTTCGTTATAAACGTATACTGTTACATATTAAAACGTAGCCATGGCGTTTATAATTAATGTTAAAGACACATTTATTCAATATCATTCAGAACCTCCCCTGTTGTCAATGATATCATTCTCGGTCTGATGTATAATATCAATTATGAATAATGATATACCTTATTAGGTATATACAGCTTACTAAAACAGAACTAAATCACGTATTTAAGTATACAACATTTTTTATTCTGCGTTAATTCCATATCTATTATAAATTGCTAATCTATTAATTTTTTCCTTCATCTCATAGTATTTTATTGAAAATAATTTTAAAATGATATTGAGAACTTAATTTTAATCTCTTTAGTAGAAATTAGGGCATCAATAGATCCCTTCAGTAAGATTTATTATACATCACATCTAATCTTATTAAATTTATTTTTAATGTAAAATTTGTGAATCACAAATGTTACTCTTAAACATAATGAATAGAACTGTAATAGTGAGAGACTAGTATTAGTTAAAGTAACACAGAAGTTAATTATCAAGTATCAATAGTTGATTACCATTAAAAATTCTAAATATATACAAATGGCATTTGTGAAGCACATAATAAAATAAACAAATTAAATATTTCAAACTTACTTAAACATTTCCAATCGATTGTCTGACTTGGCTTGATTATATATTTTAGATATACCACCTGCATCTCCTATTCCAGCAATATACAATGAGGTTAAACATACCAGTATAAGTGCAGCTTGGTAAACGTCAGTCCATAAAACAGCTTTCAAACCACCCTAAAATTATTCACATTTTAATCTTTTTCCTTATTTATTGAATTAAATTATTATAGTTTTGATTAAAGAAAACTATGATATTATTAACTCACTGCAAGCACATATTAAGGTGTATTACAATGAACGAAAACCTTAAAGGCATGCTCATGTTCACGAAAACATAACAAATAATTATTTTAAATCCAATGCCTTCTAATATATTGTTTGAGAAATTCCTCAATAAAAATTAATAAAGAATTTTCAATATGCTGTAAAAAAATATAACAATGAAAGTTTATATCTCCTTTCTCGGCAAAATTATAATTTTAATGGGATTTTGCTGTGTAGCTCTACTAAAAAACTAAAGAAAAATGGAAACTACAGAAAGTGAGATGGAAATTAATCAAAAGTATGGATGATTAATGCTGTTTGAAATCTTTAAGAGTAGGTAATTAAGAAAAGATGTAAGATGCAGAATTAAAAAAAAAACTGATATACATATTGAAAGACACATATCTGTTTCATAAAATTAGAAACTGAAAGCTGAATATTTTCTTAATAATTATTTCGTATTAAGTATTAGTAGGGGAAAAAAGGGGGTTCAGCCGCAGCAGGAGGGGTACAACTCAACATTTCAGATTCGGCTACTGCCGCAGCAGGAGAAATACAACTCAACGAACTATGACGTCAGAGGTTTTTCTGAGAGTGTGAGATCCCTACTGTAGATAAGGTTTTATCTAGAGGGTTGTTTTTATCTCTTCTGTAGAAAGTGAAGGAATTATTTTCATTTTCGGGACTTAGAAATTTTTCGTACCCAAGTGTATTTTATTAAGTTTTCAATATTTAAATTAATATACCAATTATTATTTTCTCATTTAAGCATTATATTTTATTCTATTCCTAATATTTAAATTAATATTTCAAATAAATAATTTTTCTTTATAATGCTTACGATTTACTTTGATTACTAAAATGGAGTAGTATATTTTTACTATGTTTTAATTATTTAAATTAATGTGCGGATCATTATTTTCTCATTAAAGCATTATAAAGCATTCATTTAATTTCTAAACGAACCCTTCTTTAGAGATTTTATTTGTACCAATTTTAAATGATGTGTCTAATAATTCTGAACTGATGAAATAGTTTATTAATCGGAATATTTGTATTTAATAAGTCGAGATATGGTAAATCTGTAGTAATCATTCTAAGAGATGTTCAGTTGAATAAAATGGTTTATGCTTTCATTACTTAAATTAATGTGCGAATTATTATTTTCCCATTAAAGCATTATAATTGATTAAATTTCTAAATAAACACTTCTTTAGAGATTACATTTTTACCAATTTTAAATTATATGTCTAATAATTCTAAACTGATGAAATAGCTTCACAGTCAGAATATTTGTATTTAATTAGTCGATATAGTAAATATGTAATAATCATTCTAAGAGGTAACAGTTGAATAAAATGGTTTATGAGTTCAGAAAAACTTTACGAATTTTTCTACTCATTATCAGTAATATAGTGTAATTATTTTTCATTATATTTTTCCGCTAAAACTCGTTTGATTAAGACAGTTTTCGGAAATATCGACAAAATACTAGCGTCTTTGACATTAAACTAAGAAAGTTAAGTAAACTCATATCGTCACTCTGAAACTAAAGTTTTATGTAACTATGTCCCGTTTTTAATCACCTGTGTTCCAAAACTCTTCAGATTGGTTGTTAATTTGAAGTTAGAAAAATTTTCAAAATGCAGCAGAGTAGCAGAAGTTTATAATTTGAGTAATTTTCAACTTGCTTCGACTTTGAAAATTTTACAATTATATATAATTTGAAAATTTTTGAAGTTGTTTGAACATAGAAAAGTATTTTAGTAGAAAAAAACGGGATTATATAAAGTCGCGGTAAAAATTCGAAACTGTATTGGATTTGCAAAACTTTCAAATAATTTGTAGTTTGAAAAATTCAGAATAGGTTTGTTTTCCAAAAACTCTGATAATGCTCAGAATTAGGAATATTCTGAAGGTGTTGGTATTTTGAAAAATTCCGAAGTTCTTAAAAACGGGTATATAAAGAATCGCAGAAGTTTGAAGTTAGAAATATTTCAAAACTTTTACGATTTTGAAAAATTTTCAAATTATTTGTACTTTAAAAGAATTCCGAATCAGTTTGTTTTCAAAAAATTCTGAAAATACATAGAATTACGAAAATTGTGAAGTTAGTGCTACTTAGAAAAATTCTGAATCTTTTAAAAACGAGTATGTAAAGAATCGCAGAAGTTCGAAGTTAGAAATATTTTAAAACTGTTTGTACTTAAAACATTTCTGATGTTATTGGTACTTAGAAAATTTCTTAATTTATTTGTACTTTGAAAAATTTTTCTACTTAGAAATATTTTAAAGCTTTGCAAATTAGAAAATTTTCGTAGTTGGGAAAAAATTAAATTATTTAAGGAGTTACAGAAGTTTGATGTTAGAAAAATTTTAGATTTGTTTCGACTTTAAAAATTTTTCAAATAATGAGCACTTAGAAAAAATTCCGAAGTTGTTTGAACGTAGAAAATTGTTTTAGTCGGCAAAAACAAGTATACAAGATGTAACAGAAATTTTTTTTTTTCGAATTGTTTTGATTTTAAAAATTTTTAAATTATTTATACTTTGAAAAAATTTTGAATCTGTTTGTGTTAAAAATATTCTGGAGTTGTATGTACATAAAATTTTTTTTAGTAGGAAAAAAATGAGTATATATCAAGTAGCAGATGTTTGGTCGTGGAAAAGTTTTCAAACTGTTTTCAACTTTGAAAAATGTTCAAATTTTTTGTAATTTGCAAAATTTTTAATTTGTTGGTTTTTAAAAAATTCTGAAAATGTTCAGAATTAGGAAAATTCTGAAGTTGTTAGTACTTCTAAAATTTCAGAAGTTTTTAAAAAACGGGTATATTAAGAATTGCAGATGGTGTAAGTAATACTGTTGTACGGTATGTACAAACTGTTTGTACTTTGAAAAATTCTAATGTTGTTGGAACTTAGAAAATTTTTCAAGTTGCTTGTTCTTTGAATAATTTTCAAATTGTCTCGACTTTGAAAAATTTTGATTGAAATTTCTGATTTCTTGAAAAGTCTGAATTCTTCTTGTTTTGTACATAGAATTGTTTCTAAATTCTTTGAACATAGAAAATTGTTTTAGTTGGGAAAAAAGGGTATATAAGATGTCGCAGAAGTATTTTTCAAAATGTTTTGATTTCGAAAAATTTTCAAATTATTTATACTCTGAAAAATTCTTAATCTGTTGGTTTTAGAAATATTCTGAAATTGTTTGAACATAGAAAACTTTTTTTAGTTGAAAAAAAAAACGGATATATCTAGAGAGTCGCAAAAGTTTAAAGTCAGAAAAAGTTTCAACTTGCTTAGGTTGTGAAAATTTTTCAAATTGTTTACACTTAGGAAGAATTCTAAAGTTGAGTGAAGTCTAGAAAAGGTTTCAAATTTTTGTACTTAAAAATATTCGTAAGTGGTTTAAATATCGAGCTTTTTTTTTAAGTTGAAAAAAAAAACGGATTTATAAGGTGCAGCATGTGTTTGGACGAGGAAAAATTTTTGAACTGTTTCGACTTTTAAAAGTTGACAAATTTTTCGTGCTTTGATAAATTCTGAAACTGCAGAATTTAGAAAAACTCTGAAGACGTTTAGAATCAGGAAAATTCTAAAGTTCTTAAAAAACGGGTAAGTAAGGAGTCGCAGAAGTTGGAAGTTAGAAAAAGTTTCAAACTCTTTATATCATTCTGATGTTTTTTGGCATTTGAAGTTGCTTATAATTTGAATAATTTTTTTTTTTGTACTTCGAAATATTCTGAAGATACGTGAATTTGAAAATTTCTGAAGTTGGGAAGAAGAAAAGGAATTTTAAAGTTAGAAATTTTTTTAACATGTTTTGACTTTGATAAATTTACGAATTCTTTGTACTTTGAACAATTCTTAATCGGTTTAAGAAAAATTCTGATGTTGTTTGAGTATAGAAAATTTTTTGAAAGTGAGAAAAACGCGTATTTAACGTATAGCAGAAGTTTGTTTTTGGAAAAATTTTCAAATGTTTTGTAATTAGAAAAACTCAGATATTTTTATTACTTAGAAAAATTCAGAAAATGTTTTAACTTTGAATAATTTTCAAATTCTTTTGGCTTTGTAAAAGTTTCAAACGGCTTGTGCTTAAACATATTTTGCAAATGTTTAAACGTAGAAATTTATTTATGCCGGAAAAAGCAGCTTTATTACGCCTAACAGAAGCTTGATCTTGGAAAAACATCAATATGTTTCGGCTTTGAATAATTTTCAAATTATTTGAACTTAGAAAAATTCTAAAGTTGTTGGTACTTGAAAATTTTTTTAAATTGTTTTAAGTTAAAACATTTAAAAAATGTCTATACCTAAAGTTATAACGAAGTTGTTTGTACTTTATTATAATTTCAAATTGCTTTGACTTAGAAAAACTTTAAAATATTTTCTTCTCAGAAATATTCTAAAATTGTTTGAATATAACACAAATTTTGAAGTTGGAAAAATGGGTATATAACGAGTCATAGATGTTTGGTCTAGGAAAAATTTTCAAATTGTTGCGATTTTAGAAGATTTTTTGAATTGTATGTACTTTGAGAAATTATGAAACTGACGGTATTTTGAAAAATTCTGAAGTTATTTGTGCCTAGAATTTTTTAAAATTTATTTCGATTTAATTTTTTGTTGATGCTTTTAATGTTGTTGCTGATTTTAAAAATTCTGAAGTTGTTTGTACTTTAAATAATTTTCAAATTGTTTTAAGATTTAAAGAATTTTTAAGCTGTTAATACTTAGAATCAAATCTTAAGATGTTCAAACTTAAAAAAAATTTTCGAACTGTTTGGACTTTAAAATATTCTGATATTCCTTGAGTATAGAAAACTTTTGAAGTTTGAAAAAATGGCTATATACTAAGAGTAATCAGTAATACCTAATCAGTGGAGTTGAACTCTCATCCCTACTAG